TCCATTCACCTCTCTTGGTTTTTTCTGTGGTTTGTTACCTTAAACAAAACCACATAGATTTTCCTTTAAAGACCCTTATCCATTATATCAGGCTTAAAAAATTGGACTGACTAATAGTCAGACATTCCTCAGTTTAATTTGAGGAGGAGGTGTTGTAGATCTTCTCCACTTAATCCAGCTTATAGCTGCGTAACAACCATCAACTAATTACAATTCTACATAAGCTACTAAATCAATAACAATCTTTTCTTCTCATTTTAATTATTATTCCTACACATCTTTGTGTCCTGCTCGCCACATAAGAGGCGCAGGCTCACAGTTGACATAGTATCTGCTTTTTGTCCCAAACAGATTTGTATACAGTTTGAGTTTGGTTGATACCAACCAATTGAGTTCTTACTTGATGAAGACGGCAGATACATTGAAGGAATTTGAAACAATATAGATGATCATTGGCCGGGAGAGGTAACTTAAAGCAAGCAAAGGAGCCTTGTATTGAATGCATGCTCTATTCTGCTGCCTGTCTTGCAGAAACGACCTGATTGTTCAGCATTTTCAGGCAAGAATACGCCCAAGGGGTATCAGGCAGTCAATTTCCCTGTTTTACTGGAGCCAAAATTTGATTCCCAACACGCTCAGATTTGCAGGTAAATTCTGTGTTGCTCAGAATTTGAAATCCAGGAGGGGTGTTGTCAGGTAATTGATGGTATAACAGAGCCGCAATCGCAGAATCATGCCAAGATCCTGGTGCATTCAAGATAGCATAAATGATGGTAGCATTGGGAGCAAATGCTAGAATGCAACTGCAATAGTGACAGCATGTTCATCCATTTTAATAAGTGTCAGCTTGCTACTAGTTCAGAGACAACCTGACTAGATACAACATATAACAAATAAAAATAAAACAACTTATTAAAGTATATTGTGAATTATAATAAAACTTACTTAAAAGAACTTGTTATAATCAGCATTAATAAATATAGTAAAAAAGGTGCTTTTTTGAACAAATAAAATAATA